ATCATTCACCACAACTTCTGGCCATATCACATCACATGACAATTGCTGCAAAAACAAGTTAGACGTCCTCTAATTGTTGTTGCATCTTTTACGTGGCTACAATTGGGTTCTAGCAAGAACGTTTTCTTACCTACGAATAACCACAACGTGATTTTGTCAACTTCTATTTACCCTTCATAAGGACCCTTTTCATCGAATCTGCTCCAACTAAAGTGAGAGAGACAGACACCCGCCAGCCACCTTATGCAACTACTGCATGTTAGTCGGTGGAACCGGTCTCACGTAAGCGTACGTGTAAGGTTGGTCCGGGTCGCTTCATCCCACAATACCGCTGAAGCAAGATAAGACTAGTAGCGGCAAAGCAAGTTGACAAGATCTACGCCCACAACAAAATTGTGTTCTACTCGTGCAATAGAGAACTACGCATAGACCTAGCTCATGATGCCACGGTTGGGGAACGTTGCAGAAAATTAAATTTTTTTCCTACGGTTTCACCAAGATCCATCTATGAGTTCATCTAAGCAACGAGTCAAGGGAGTGAGTTTGCATCTACATACCACTTGTAGATCGCGTACGGAAGCGTTAGAGGGAGCGGTGATGATGGAGTCGTACTCGCCGTGATTCAGATCACCGGAGATCCTAGCGCCGAACGGACGGCACCTCCGCGTTCAACACACGTACGGAGCGTGTGACGTCTCCTCCTTCTTGATCCAGCAAGGGGGAAGGAGAGGTTGATGATGATGGCTCCAGCAGCAGCACAACGGCGTGGTGGTGGTGGAACAACAGCACTCCGGCAGGGCTTCGCCAAGCACGTGACGAAGGAGGAAGAGGTGTAGCAGGGGGAGGGGGCGCCAGGACTTCAGGGTGCGGCTGCCCCTCTCCCCCTCCCTTTATATAGGCCCCCAGGGGGGGCGCCGGCCCTGGGAGATTCAATCTCCCAAGGGGGCGGCGGCCAAGGGGGGAGGAGTGCCCCCCAAGGCATGTGGTGCGCCCCCACCCTAGGGTTTCAACCCTAGGCGCAGGGGGTGGGACTAGGGGGGCGCACCAGCCCACTATGGGCTGGCTCCCCTCCCACTTCAGCCCATGGGGCCCTCCGGGATGGGTGGCCCCACCCGATGGACCCCCGGGACCCTTCCGGTGGTCCCTGTACAATACCGGGTGACCCCGAAACTTTCCCGATGGCCGAAATACCATTTCCTATATATAATTCTTTACCTCCGGACCATTCCGAAACTCCTCGTGATGTCCGGGATCTCATCCGGGACTCCGAACAACATTCGGTATACTGCATACTCATATTCATACAACCCTAGCGTCACCGAACCTTAAGTGTGTAGACCCTACGGGTTCGGGAGACACGTAGTCATGACCGAGATGGCTCTCGGGCAATAACCAACAGCGGGATCTGGATACCCATGTTGGCTCCCACATGCTCCTCGATGATCTCATCGGATGAACCACGATGTCGAGGATTCGAACAACCCAGTATACAATTCCCTTTGTCATTCGGTACGTTACATGCCCGAGACTCGATCGTCGGTATCCCAATACCTCGTTCAGTCTCTTTACCGGCAAGTCACTTTACTCGTACCGTAATGCGTGATCCCGTGACCAAGCACTTGGTCACTTTGAGCTCATTGTGATGATGCATTACCGAGTGGGCCCAGAGATACCTCTCCGTCATACGGAGTGACAAATCCCAGTCTCGATCCGTGTCAACCCAACAGACACTTTCGGAGATACCTGTAGTGCACCTTTATAGTCACCCAGTTACGTTGTGACGTTTGGTACACCCAAAGCACTCTTACGGTATCCGGGAGTTACACGATATCATGGTCTAAGGAAGAGATACTTGACATTGGAAAAGCTCTAGCAAAACGAACTACACGATCGTGTGCTATGCTTAGGGTTGGGTCTCGTCCATCACATCATTCTCCTAATGATGTGATCCCGTTGTCAATGACATCTAATGTCCATAGTCAGGAAACCATGACTATCTGTCGACCAACGAGCTAGTCAACTAGAGGCTCACTAGGGACATGTTATGGTCTATGTATTCACATGTGTATTACGATTTCTGGATAATACAGTTATAGCATGAATAAAAGACAATTATCATGAACAAGGAAATATAATAATAACCCTTTTATTATTGCCTCTAGGGCATATTTCCAACAAGAAGAAGTCCTGAGGCCTCTTCCCTCCCTTGCCCGGTTTGTGCTGCTTAGCCGGGGCGGAGGGTTGAGGGCCCTTCTTCTTGCCCTTGCGGCCCCTCTTCTTCGGTTGAGGCTTGCGGACTTTGAGAGCATTCACCTCCTGACGAGAACTCCCCCCAAGTGGTTGTGCAACAAAGTTTTTTTTTAGAACCTCGTCCTGCGCCTCCTCCACCTGGAGGACGACGTCAATCAACTCTGAATACCTCGTGTAGTTGCCCTGGCGGTAGTTCCGTGAGGACTAGACCGCGTCAGGGTGGAAAGTGGATAGGGTTTTCTCAATCTTCTGGGTGTCGGTAATCTTAGTACCACACAATCAAAGAGTCGTACAAATCCGGTGCAGAGCCGAACTGTCCTCCCCAACCGTCTTGAAGTCCGCAAACCTCAGACGGATTCACTCTGCCTCTGCACGTGGCTTCACAGTGTACTTCAGCCGCTCAAACCGTTGCTTAAGAGCGGTCCAAAGGCCAGAAGCACTGCGCTCAGCCATATACTCATCTTTCAGAGTAGGTGACAGGTGATGATGGAGAAAATGCAGAGCCTGCGCATTCTCAGTTTCGAACTTGGGAAAGGTGGGGGCCAGCTGGGCCCCCTTACCGATCACCCTCAGGAGGGTTTTGCCCTGGAGAAAGATCTCGCAGTCCGAGGACCATGACAGGTAGTTTAGCCCTGTCTGGGCCAACTCAGCAAACTCCTTGTTGACAATTCCGGCCATCTACGATTTATGCAAAAATCATGGGATTACAGCAGGTAATCTTTTGCACAAATGCGATGTTGATAAATTTATTCAATAAAAATGATGTTCCATTATTTAAAACATGTTCTTATATGACTTACCTAATGATTAAGAGTGCTAAACAATTAATCTACAGTAGTAAAATCATACAATAAAAACATGTTTACAAAATATAGCATGTTAAGCGCATTTCGTACGTGAAAAATAGCCCAAAAAGTGAATTCCCGAGGCATATTTAAGCCTAAAGTAGCATTTTTAGCGAAAACAGACAGTTCCAGGGACTTATACATAAAATATTACAACAAGAATATAGTCGCATAAATCTATGGTACAACGGGGGCTAAAACACAAATAATCCAAGCTGCAGCCAGCGCCACCCTCTTTTTTTTCATTGCCAGGACTCCCACGGTCGTGGCCCATCCGAGGCCCAGCAGCCAGTGCCCGGCCGGCCCACCAGGGGGACGACACTAGGGTTCCTCCTAGCGCCCGAACAGTGGCGGCGACTGCTGTTGGTGGGGCCCGAGGCCCGGGCGGTTGCGCGCAGCACGCGCGCCCCGTCTGGTAACGCCGGCGGCCCGCACGACGGCGGTTACGTGGCCCTCACGATGCGGCCGGTACTCCAGCACGCGAGCGGCCGGCGGCCGGCATGGGCATGCACGGCGTTGACCGGACTGCGTTCGTGGCGCGGCGATGACCAGCGCGTGGTGGTCAGTACTAGCTCGCGGCTGCCCGGAGCCTGGCGCGGTGGTGGCCAGCAGAGCCGATCAATGGTAGCTGGCGAGGCGGCACAGCGACGCACGCGGCAACGGCCATGCGCCAGCTGGGCGAAGTGAGCAGCGCGTGGCCAGCAGTGCACGGCGGTGCTTCGGGCGATGCGGGCGTACATCGGGTACGCGGTGGCCACGGCGCGGCGTGGATGACCAGCGGGGTCGCAGCCGGCGATGGCTACGGTGCGTGACGACGGCAGCCAGCAGGGCACGCGAGCGCGCAGCGGCGCGAGCATGCAGCGGGCACGGGAACGCCCAGCATGGCCATGGTGACGCCATCGATGGTTTGGCATGGCGTCATCTGTACGTCGGCCTCGGGATGCAAGTCTTCGTCTTGTTCATCCGGAACTCCGACGACGCATGGCACATCTGGTGCTTTTGCGGCGGTACCGTGACCATCTGGGTCACGATCTGTATAGACTCCTTATAGTGCAGTTAACAAGTTCCTCTTGATCCAAGAACATCGACATTGGTCGGCGACGTATTCGTCAGCTCGGTTCTTGGGAGAAAAATCCATACCATAGTTAGATTAAATCCGAAAAATATATTAATCGCAAAAACAGAATCGCGAGAACATGAGAAATCCATTTTTGCAAAAGAGAGATCAGATCTTATACCTCCGCGTGAACGACGAAAGCCTGCTTGATGCAGGCTTGACGCAGGCTTGATGGATAGTTGGTGGAGCGAAGCATGCTGATGACATATTCCGCAACATATTCCGCAACTCCGCCGGCCAGTCCGGTCTGAGGTTGCGGAGCGAGGGCAAGCGTCGTAGACGAAGTAGTCGAACACGCAAAGTAGATGGACACAGAGAAACATGATGAGGACTAACTTTATTAATCAATAATCAAGTGTTACAATGATGACTCCTCGTCGTTTTATATAGAGGTAGGGGGTCAAGGGAAGTACCCACTTAACCTAAAACGTGGAACCCGGAGGGGCCAGCCCGTGCGATACACCCCTTTGTGTGGCCCGATTTCCCAACACAAATCATGGCATGGGATGAGGAATATAGCTCAACCATATCACAACCGTGTCATGGTACACAACAGAAACGCACGCCACGTTGTTTATCATATCACCCCACGTTCTTCTAGCTGAGCGGCGACAGCTCCACAAGCACCCACCTCGTCATCCCACATCGCCCGCTTCTGCACCTCCGCCTCCCGTGAACGTGAACAAGGCCATGGACGGCAGTTTGAGCTAGGACTCTGTCCATCTCCTCCGGGGATGGCCGCCTGAAAAACTGTGTCTTCCTGCTCCGTGCCATTGGCCGTGTACGAGATGGAGCTAAGGGCGCAGGAGGCCGCTGCCCACCCGTTCCCGTCACCAAGACCAAGGTCGACGGCCGCGTCGGCTTCTCCCCGCGAGCTCGACGAGCTCATGGCCGGCCGACGCCTCCCCTCCAGCGGCGAGATGTGCCAGCCTCCCGACGGACGGCCGCACCTTCCCCAACCTCGTCGTCATAACACACGAGGAATGACGAGCGGGAGGCCCGGGCAAGAGGATGAGGAAGGCGACGTGGACGAGGTAAGCGTCGACGAAGCTCTCCTGCCGATCCCTAGGAGGAGCCAGGACTGCAAGGAGCTAGGAGAGGTGAGCTTAGCGGTGGGCGCCGAGGTGAAGCGGCAGCTGTGGCTCGCCGGCCCGCTCATCGTCGGCAGCCTGATGCAGAACCTGATCCAGACCATCTCCGTCATGTTCGTCGGGCACCTCGGCGAGCTGCCCCTCGCCGGCGCGTCCATGGCCACCTCTTTCGCCACCGTCACCGGATTCAGCTTGCTGGTAAGTAGCATTTTGCTAGCTAGCTTGGCGCTTCATGTTTTCCACATCATGAATTTGTGCAAAGATGGTAGGAATATGAGTCACGTATACTATAAATTACTCCCGCATCAGTGTAAAAAAAAGTCTTACGTTATGGGATGAAGGGAGTAATACTCTATTCCTACGACCCACGTAAAGCTACGAAAGATTTCTACATAACCTTCCTAAATCCTTCTCTACCCCCCCTGATTTTCGGGGGGTGGGGCCTCATCCTCCCTCTTCCCCAACGATGATTATTCATGTTGCTAATCATGTAAAGTATGTAACTTCTGCTACGTAGGTGTAGCATTACCGCTATTCCTAAGTTGCCTAAACATGTTTCTCTATCTCAGTTAGCTTTTGAAGCTTTGGATCCACATCCAACCACCCTTTTAAACCTTTAATAATGGAGTAAAAGTTGCACTGATTAATACTTTGCAATAACACTTTCGAAGCTGCATGCGAGTATGAACTTTTCTCTAAAAAACTTAGCAATGTGGAATGTTAGGTGGCGAAGGTTTTCAGAAGCGAGAACTACTCAGTCTTTTATTGTTCTTAACTCGTCCTTTTACGACCAAGAATAGCCACCTATGAAGATGTGTATATGTGCCCATATGAGATATGCATGGTGTTTCTGATACGTGAATTGCTATATATAACTCGCACTCCTGAAAATTTGTGAAATTTTAGTCGTTTTTTGTTCATTGATGTTTCGATGTGTGAAATTTCAGCCACTCTTTTAGGTTCATATTTTTGTTTCCTATAAGTTTCCTTTCTTTTGTGAATGCACATTGATTATACGTGCAATTACTTCAACTGCATTTTAATGTGTCCAGACACAAAAGAGTCTAAAACATGAGAAATTTTCAGGCACCATTACGTAATGTGTCCAGGTAGTTACTTTTGATGATGCATATGACTATCTGAGCCCAGCCCATGGTACATTCATCGCCGGTTATGCTCCCTCGCGCCGTGGGTATCCTTCTATTTTTGTCACCATTACCTGTCGCCTATGCCATCACAAACCCGTCAGTTATCTCCATGTGCAATTGCGCCACCATCCAAATCCTCTTACATAAATATCATTTTTTTTTCAAATATGTTTATCTTTACACTTTAACCATATATAAGTGGCTTGTTTTTAAAAGGATAAGTCAACTTTCTGACTGTTGCTTATTTTGTCAAGATTTGTGTTGTCCTTTTCTTTTTCCTTGTGTTGTTTTCATGTCTTCTTTGATTAATTTTTCGACTTGCCCCTTTTCGGGGTCAATATTATCTTATTTGGCTTTAATCCCATCACCTTTTGACTCTTATTTTTTCTGTTTTTATGCATTTTTCTTTTGCTTTTTTCTTGTTTAGTCAGGTTTTCTTTTTGTATTTATGGGTTTGTATGGGATTTTGTGTGAGTGTAAAAGTATATACGCAAGTAATATACAATATGTGTGTAAATTATACTTAATTGTTAAAAATTGCACTATGCTTATTCTTTGCATATTAAAAAAAATGCAATTTCAAAGCAAAGTTATGTGTAAGCTTTTTAAAGTTGTTTTTTCATTCCCTTTCTTTTAAAGGGGCATACCAATGCCACTAATTCATTCTTTCATAGAAAACTTATTTTTTATTTTATTTTTTCTTGAAGGATAATATCAATGCCACTAATTCATTTCTAATTAGAACTTTTTTTTTTTGAAAATTTCACTATTATATGCTTACTCTTGCATAGTATAAAAAATGCAATTTTTGTATAAATTGTGTGCAAATTTTGCTGCTATTTGTTTCTTTTTTATGTTCTTTCTTCTTAAAGGGTAATGCAAATGCTACCAATATATTCTTAGTTAGAAAACATGAATTTTATTTTTGTGTGTCCAAGTACACACACAAGTACTATACAATATGTGTGTACATTATACTAGAGCGTGAAAATTGCACTGTTATATGAGTATTCTTTGCATATAACAAAAAGTATATTTTTAGTGTGTGCAATTTTTCCTTTCATTTTTCTTCTTCTTAAACGGTATACCAATGTCACTTATTCATTCTTTCTTAGAGAACTTTATTATTTTGATTTTATTTTACTTTTTATTTCATTTTCTTTCTTCTTTAATGGCAATACCAATGCCACTAATTTGTTCCTTCTTAGATTTATTTTTGCCAAAACTACACTATTAGATGATTATATTCTTGCATATTATGAAGAACACAATTTCTGTGTAAATTGTGTGCAATTTTTTTATTATTTTTTTGTTTGTTTTGTCATTTTCTTTCTTCTTAAAGTGTAATACCAATGACACTAATTCATTCTTTATTAGAAAACATCATTTTTGTTTTCCATTAATATTTATTTATTCATTTTTGTTTTCACCGAAATTCTAAATTCAGTCCCCTGACCCCTAGCCAGTCCCTTGTGTTTACTGTCAAACTTCCGGTTTCATAAATGACATTATTCTTCCTCCCATTTCCCCTTGATCAGACAGGCATGTCCAATGCTCTGGACACTCTATGTGGCCAAGCATTTGGCGCCGGCCAATACCACCTCCTTGGCATATACAAGCAACGCGCCATGCTGCTACTCACAGTCGTAAGCATCCCTGTCGCCATCATGTGGTTCTACACTGGTCAGATCATGCTCCTGTTCGGCCAAGACCCCGAGATCGCCATGGAGGCAGGCATGTACGCCCGGTGGATGATCCCCGGCCTCTTCGGCTATGGACTACTGCAGTGCCACGTTCGTTTCTTGCAGTCGCAAAACACCGTGCTCCCGGTCATGGTGAGCGCCGGCGCGGCCGCTCTGTTCCATCTGCTCGCCTGCTGGCTGCTCGTGCACGTTGCCGGGATGGGCAGCAAGGGCGCGGCTCTGAGCACCGCCGTCTCCTACTGGGTCTACGTGATCTTACTGGCCATGTACGTGAGGGTGTCGAGCTCTTGTAAGCAGACGTGGACCGGGTTCTCCATGCAAGCCTTCCATGGGGCGCACGACTTTCTCAGGCTCGCCGTGCCGTCTGCTCTCATGCTTTGGTGAGTGACATTTGGAGTTCTTAACTAGATGTCGCAAACTCGCGATCATCGGTCGGGTCTTGATGTTCGCATGTCATGGCAGCTTGGAATGGTGGTCGTTCGAAATCCTCGTGCTGCTTTCAGGACTTCTTCCAAATCCTAAGCTGGAAACATCCGTCCTATCAATCACGTAAGATTACAGTCCCATCGCCGAGTTTCTTGCTGTGTCGATTTGCTTCGTGTCTTCACGTACATTTGTGTCTTGCGACAGACTCAACACGGCTAACTGTCTCTTCATGATTCCCTACGGCCTCGGCGCTGCCATAAGGTAAGTAAATATATACCCACTTCAGTTTATGTAGTTCATATTAAAATATCTGAAACATCTTATATTTGTGAACGGAGGAAGTATCACTGAAGCAAAATGTCAATGTCCCTTCATGTTACTATTCGTGCATGGTGTTTTGCATGAAATATAAGATCGTGCTTCGTGCAGCACCCGTGTCTCGAACGAGCTCGGGGCGGGGCGGCCACGGGCAGCCCGCCTCGCCGTGCACGTCATCATGTTCTTGGCCATCTCGGAAGGAACCGTCATGGCTGCGGTCGTGGTCCGTGTGCGCTACATCTGGGGCCACGCTTACAGCAGCGAGGAGGAGGTCGTGTCATACGTTGCCAGGATGCTGCTGGTGATCTTGGTGGTCAACTTTTTCGACGGGATTCAGTGTGTTCTCTCAGGTACATTGCCCTACGTGGATCTGCTCCTCGATCAGTTGCTAGCTATACACGGCCGGTTGACATGGCCGGGAGGGACACAACACATGTGCATGTATATAACGCTATATCAGTCTGTATATAGGTGTTGCTAGAGGCTGTGGGTGGCAGAAGATGTGTGCCTTCATCAACCTTGGGGCATTCTACGTTGTCGGCGTGCCGGCGGCCTACCTCATAGCCTTCGTGTTGCGCGTCGGCGGGATGGTGCTTTCCCTTTGCATCTATTCGTTTGGTTTTGTCTAACCTTTTACCTTGGATGCCATGCTGAGAGCGCGAACCATAATAACGTATGTGCAGGGCCTTTGGATGGGGATCATCTGCGGTGTTCTGGTGCAGGTCATGCTGCTCACGATCATCACACTGTGCACCAATTGGCAGAAGGAGGTAATTAGTTCATGTCGTTTTTTTGTTTCCTCAGATTCGGGTTCATGCGTGTAATGAAGTAATTAGTTCATGGTTGTGTGGACTGAACATGCATGTGACCCATATATAGGCGATGAAGGCGAAGAACAGAGTGTTCAATTCTTCTATTCCGACGGATCGATCTACTCATGACATGAAGATAAGTATGGAGGTCTCGTGCTACTGAAGATAAAAGAGGATGAAGTGAAGAACAAGCATATTCTTTTCTTGCAGCAAAGCTGAGGAAGGGAAATATCTTTGATGAGCTCCTTGGCCCCTGAAAGACACATTAAAACTATCACTGAGGACAGGGCGTCGCTCTATTGGCAAGCCATGCGGGTGTGCACGCTGCCCAACCAGGTTCGAGCCTTGGGCTAGGAGTACGAGTGTTTAGGTTGCTTTCTTCTGTAAAAGTATGCCACAAAGGGCTAGTCCTGGTTGGCCTTATTTTCTAATAAGATGTCTAGTTATCATGAAAATTACCTAAAAATAATGAGCTATGCGGGGGACAGGAGGAAATACTTACCAATATATATATTACATTCATTTATTGATTTGCAAAATCATTTCTAAATTTATTAAGTAGACGAATTCATGAGTTAGAATACTCATTTGATTATTCATTTATATATATGACATTTCATCAGATTACATGTAGCAAAATAATTAATATATTGTGATTAAGACAGATCTCACATCATAAAGAATTTCAGTGGTGGGCGCCCATGTAGAGATATAAATTATATTCATTTTTTATTTGAATTTGTTTATACATTTATTAACTAGAAGTATTCATGAGATTTAGAGTACCCATTTTAGTATTCATTCATTTATTTTGGTTTGCTATCACACTGAATGTAGTAGAAGCAATAAATATAGTGTTTAAGGTAGGTATCAGATCATGTGGATTTTTTTCGGCGAACGTGCATATGGAGATATATTACACTTATTTGTTGATTTGCAAAGTTGGTTGTACATTTATTCACTAGATGTATTCATGAGAGTTAGGGTACTCATTTGATCATTCATTTATTTATTTGGTTTGCTATTACAATCCTTGTTGCAAAACGAATAAATATACTATGATTAAGGAAGGTCAGACCACAAGGATTTTCTCTGGTGAACGTATATAGAGAGATATAGATTACATTTATTTGTTGATTTGTGAAATCTTTTGTACATCTATTCACTAGGTGGGTTCACAAAAGTTAGAGTACTCATTTGATCATTCATTTATTCGTATGATTTGCAATCGTATTCCATGTAGGAAAAGCAATAAATGTAATGCGACTAATATATAGATATGATAAGGATTTTCTCTTGCAGGGGTGTCTATATATAGTCACCATGCACCACACCTACACAACAATACCTAGGTAGGTGCAAAATGCAAACTGCAATGGCGAGTGTTTCAACCTTTATAGCTATGTTTATCATCATGCTCGCAGCCATGTACTCTGGCCTCGTTGTTGCCTATGCTAACACCGAATTCATCTCCCGCACATGCAACAAGACCAACAACACCGCATTGTGCATTGCCGTGCTTACCACAAAGCCACAAAGTGCCCATGCCTCCACCGAACACGACCTCGCCAGAATCGCATTGGAGCTCACCATTGACACCGCCAAACACAACGTCAAGGTCATCAATGACCTAGACAAGAAAAAACAGAGCAAGCCGGAGGCATTTGCACTGGCCATCTGCCTTAAGGCTTACACTGAAGCCACTAGTGCCCTTGAGATTTATGCTGTCTCGAACTTCCAAATGGGGTCGTACCCCAGTACGTTGGCCAATGTTTCATTCGCGATGGGCGCTAGTGATACATGCAAGAAAGCGTTCAAAAGGATCGGCAAAGAATCCCCAGTGTCCTACATAGACCGCGAGATGATAGAGCACTGCAGTGTCGCCAGCAACCTCATCAACCTACTTGTCCGCAAGTGATGACATTGCATTCCTGGCACATAGATGCCTATTGCTAATAACAAGATAATACCCTGCTGCTTGTTGCGGGAATTTGTAGCACTATATTTGAGTATTATGGAGTAAGAAATAATAAAATCATAAAATGTATCTTTTTAACCTATGATGACATAATGTGAGAAGCCAGGAAAATTGGTATATTGTATAGTATCTCCATACTGAATTAGCTTCCATTTTCCACTATACTCCATTTTGAGCGAAAAAATAGCCAAAGGTACACCAAATGTCATGGTTACTAAGTAAGACAACAAATGTATTCTTTTTTTCTACATACTATTTAAGAGACTGCCATCCAACATAGAACAATTGAAGTAAAGAAGAATCAGAGCAGGCCATACTTGATCCTCTCAGCAAGCATTGTCATAACACCAGAATAATCAAATAGTGATATTCCAAGTATTATTCTTACATCTTGAAAGCGAAGTTATAGCCTTAGAGAAGACTGTTTATTCACACACACATGCTTGAAAACAGAACATCACTTACTATTCTAGTATAGATAAATAATAAAATGATAGCAGCTATCTCCAAACCAGAAACACGGCAGCACCCTTATTTGTCACCACACTTGCACATCCCAGGGAGGAGCATGTTAGGTTGAATATTCAGCTGAACAAACATTAACACCGTAAGCAACCTGTAAATTGCAATGTATCAGCAAATTAAGGGGACAAAATGTATACCTTTCAAAATTAAGGAAATACAACATTTGATTGTGGCCTATATTTTTACATGTTTGAAGGGTTTGGATGTTCCCCTATATTTTTACATATTTGAAGGGTTTGAATGTTCCCCTAGAAGACACCCCACACGCGTTGCAGCTAGAATATGCATGAATATAAATTAGATACATTAAGGACATGATTAAGAGTATGAAACCATGTGACATTTGTAAATTCTAATTAAATCAGCATGGGTGAATTGCATAAAGAAAAAAAAAGGAATAACAATGGCACTAGCAATAATTGACTCTTGAAGGAATTTTGTGAAAAAAGTA